CGGTATAGCCTGGTATAGTAGCTGTTGGTGTTGTCCAGTATCTCTGTGTTTTCAAATAGGAAAACGGGAAGCTGGCCGTGAAAGCCTTCGACAATACATCTTAAAGTTGTCAAGGCTGAGAAACCTAGGGATTCCAGGACTGCTGATTAGATTAGAAGAAGAAGAAAAAACAGCCCTCCCCCCCCAAAGGCTGTGGCAAATCACTGCCATGAAAACTGCATGGCAAAGTCCCAAGAAGTTGAGAAAAGGCATTTTTACCCTTTTTAATGGGGTGGGATTTTTAATAGTACCTCTGAAAGATTCTGGATGGGTTTACATTTTTATTTTGCAAGAAGCAATGCCAGAAAAGCCTTTTCTTTAATTCTTACCTATTAATTCTCTTTGCAGATTAATGCCATTTTTAAAGTGGTGGAGGAAAACACTTCCTTGGGTCAAATGCAGTTATGCTGTCATTGGAAACCGAAAGCAGCTACAGATACACCCCCACACATCAAATATATAAAGTGTAAATGGATGCTTTACTGTCTAGATCCTGGGGGGGGGGGGAGGTGATTTATTTGTTTACTTAAAAGGTAGCATTTCTGCAGGAGCTTTGATTTGCTTTGTCGTCATGCAGCCTTTTCTCTCCCCAAGCTTCTCCAAAACAATTGCAAAAACTCAAGAGATGAGAGGAAGGCATCTGGATGCCAGATGTATAGGATTGTCGTAATGCACCTTCCCAAAAGACATTTATATCATACACACCATCCCCATGATTTTCTGTTGTCCTTGGGAGACTAGCAGTGATGGCTGCGACAAGGCACAGAGTAACCCCTTGTTTACTAGAAATATTTCTATGGCATTAATACTGTTATTTATTTCTTTGTGTCATAGAGTTAGTAGGGGCCACATCACCCATCAAATCAAACCCCTGCTCAGTACAGGAATTGAAATAAAAGCTCTCCCACAATCACAGAGCTAGAAGAGGCCATTTATGCCATCAAGCTTAACTCCCTGCTCAGTGCAAGAAAACTAATTGGATCATCTCAGACAAGTTGGCTGAACATATCCAGTGAATGAGAGTCCACAATTTCTCTGGGTCACCAGTTCCACTATCAAGCTGATCTTACACTTATGATCTTTAAAAATTCATTTTAAAGACTTATATACTAATTTCACCGTGAAATATTCTAGGGCATAGAAGTAGCATCCTAATCAGTTCTCTACTCAGCTCACTCCCTCTACACAGGTTCCAACTCTTCTCAATGGTTATGAGAACATTCCCTTTGTCCTTTTTAATTAAAATTGAGACTCCACAGTTATCCAATGAAATCAGACACTCCATTCCATCCTTTCTGGCTTTTCAATTGAAAGGAACAAAGTGCCTATCGATTAATTGAATGCTGGTGTAGCCATTATCTTCCTCCCTTCCTAGTGAAATGTCATTCTCCTGCCCCACATCACCCTGACTCCTATAATTGTCTTTCATTCCTCCTGAACTGGGTGCTGTCCTGCCTCTTCCTCCTCCAACACCACCAACAACAAAATCTAGGAGATGCTCAACAAAGGCAATTCCATGAAGAGGAAGATCAGAAGAAAGTGTAGTAAGCTTCACTCCCTCATCAAGCATTCTTTCTGCATTTTTGAAAATTCTTTGGTTCTTTTTCCAAAGACTCATAAGAATATAATTGAAAGGTGGAAACTCTAAGAATCTAACTGGAGTTTCATGTTATAAATAATATAAAATGAAGCTTGGAGAATGGATGTCTTATAGGAGTGTAGGTCTTATGAGCCCTCCAGATATACTGAACTACAACTCCCAGTATCCTTCATTACTGGCTATCTAGACAAGGACTCTGTCATTTGAAGCAATACCAAGAACTGTGTTTCTCAACCTTGGCAGCTTTAAGATGTGTGGACTTCAACTCCCAGAATTCTCCAGCCAGAAGTATATGCAAAATAGATTCCCAGATCAATCAATGAATATTCATCTCAGATTGGAATGAACACTGAATCCACTGTTTGTTTTTGTCTTCCCAAAAATTGCTTAAATACCAAACTCCTCAGAAGATTACAAGTTTAAAAAAGATTCAGGAAGGGGGCAGTATTTCTGCCTAATCCTTTCCCTTTCTGTTATCTTTTCCGTTCAAAATGCATCAGTCCTTCTCCAAGCCTGCTACAAAAAAATAGTCAAAACAAAAGAAATACAGATGAGCTCTCCCATCTCATTTTTCCAACTACAATAACTTTGTTTAAATTTGCAGGCCAACAATGCTGTTTGTAGTGGAAAATAAAAACAGTGGAGAAAAGGCACAGGGGAGTGTAAAACTATTCTGTCTGGACCAGGATAAAATCTCATGGTTTCTCCTTTGACAAGGTTTTTTCCCTCTAAACTCTTGTGGGCATTCCCAGGCCTTGCTGCACCTCATGGTGAATCCAGCAATCTTTTATTGAGACAGTGAACATTCAACTAGCTAAGGAGAATTTTGGACCACATACACACTGCCTTCCCTCAAATACCCCTAACAGCCATAAAACAGTGAAATTCCACTTCCCCAAACTAGTAGGGCACATATTTATTTATATTTAGTTATTACATTTATTTCCCGTTTTTCCTTTGGTGGCACTCTTGGGGATCTTGTGATTATTTTGTTTTCTCACATCAACAACAGCCAATGTAGAGTAGTATTAAAGGTGTGTTGGAGTAGGAGTGGGGCCAACAGTTACAAACAGTAACTTATGATACCCAAGGTGAACAATACCTCCCAATCATAAAATCACATCAACAATAGAGCTTGCTTAACCTCTGAGCCCAAATGCCTGGGGAAACAGCCAGACCTTCAAAGTCTTAGGAAAGGGTAACAGGGTTGGGGCCATCTGGATCTCCAGAGGGATGCTGTTCCACAAGGCAGCGGTGTCACAGAGAAGGCACAACTCCTGATCCAACAAGATGACATTGTTTGATACAAGATGAGGTATGCCCACCCTGCTAGATCTGGTGGGAGGGAGCAGAAGCAATGGGAGAAATGTGGTCCTGCAAGCAGCCTGGCCCCATGCCTTGCAGGGCTTTATAGGTGACAATCAGCACTTTGAATTGCACCCAGAAGCCTACTGGGAGCCAATATTATATGAGTGTAGTGAGAAATGCCAAAAACTGACATCACTGCATTCCAGACCAGCTTCCAAATGCTTTTCAAGGGCAGCCTCATGTAGAGTGTGTTACAGTAACCCAGAAAGGAGATGACTAAAGCATAAGTTTTACCATGAACAAGGCCTCTCTGTCCAGAAATGGGCACAACTATGGACAAGATGAACCTGTGCAAAGGCCCAACTTATTGTTGTGGGGAAAACTGGATGAGGGGTTGTTGAACTCTTCAATGGAAGGTGGGATATAAATTCAAATAAATAAATAAATAGGGCTAAAACATCAAGGATGGAAAGGAGAACCTAGGTTTCTGCAATTCCAGTCCAATAGCTTAATCACTACCCACACTACACCACTATATCATTGATATGGGAGAGGCTCTTGATCACCAGTTAAGCCACCAAAGAACTGATACCGCAATGAAAATAAGAACTTCCCTTGCAAGCATACAGGCTTTGCCTTCCACATGTTGCAGAGAACGCATTTTGCTTACCGAGCCCTTGGTTCTGCTGTTCCCATTCAATTGCATTTGGCACATGGTAGGATATTCCGGAGAGCTCTCCTGCAGGACCTCCCAGCCCTTCCAAGGGTTCCTGTGAGGTTTCCCCAGGAACAGTAAAACTGGAGAGGTCAGCGTCTAAGCTTTCATCTATTGAGTTGGGCTCTCTGTCATCATCATTCTCTTCTTCATCCTCATCCATTTCTTCCTCCTCTTCTTCTTCTTCTTCCTCCTCCTCCTCCTCTTCCTCCTCCTCTTCCTCTAGAGAGATAGGAATTAGAGAAAGGTGATATTGGGAAAAATCCTAATATGATGTTCATTGATGACATCCAGGGCATGAATTGATTTGTACACCTTTTTTTATGAACTGCAATAATGTTGGAAGATGCTTGAAGTAGAGGCTGTTGTCTGTTTTTGTTTTTTTTAATTAAATTCAGTTCCTCTCCGGTTACCTAATGCCAGTACTTAGAAGGTTCCAAAGATACAGACACTTATCAAGTACAAACTAGTTTCCTTCTTCTTTTCCTCTTGCCTCATAATCCTGATGAAAACTTCTACCCATTTGTGGAATGAAGAATATCTTAAGAGGAGGGCCTTTTAGTAGGGATACGTCATAATCCTAATGATGATTGGACCATGGGTCCAGTGGTTGTTACCCACACCACTAGAAGTGAAAGCGTTTAACTTCACTGAGAGGGTTTTTTTTTTCATTTTACCCCTAATATGTGAGTGAAATTTTGGGGAGGCTTAATTAGTGGGAAAAGAGAAAGACGAAAATTGTGCCACTGAAAATGGACACTTGGCCATGTAATTCTGGATGCTCCACTTGAGTCTGCAAAATGGATGCATGCAGAGTCTGCTGGCCACATTGACTGGCAGTGACTTTCTAGGAAAGTCTGCCCAAGTTTGGTTGCCTCCAGTTATATTGGATTTCCGTTCCTACAGCTCCTAGACAACACGGAAACAGCTTGTGGGTTGAGAATGCTGAGAGTTGGTTTAACACATCTGGAAGGCACCAGACTGGGATAATGTCAATCAAGCATAACAGCATCTTGGATTTGTAGAGACCCTTGTTGCTCTTGTGACAGATGCAACTCTATTTATACTTGCCCAGTATTAGAATTTATTCATCATCGTGTATATTTCCTTCTTTCAAGAAAAAAAAGTATTTTCGTGCATAAAATCAGGCTGTGCTGGGCTCCATATTTTTTAAAACAATGAAACAGGAAAGACATCCAGTGAATTTTAGTACTTTCCCATCCCCTTTATTTCAACAGAAAATAATTAAATATCCCAGGTCAAATCAGTAGATATTTGGCTGATCAATGTTCATACTTCTAGACATTGTGGAAAAGGATGAATGCAGTGATTTCACGCATCACACACAAATAAATGCTATTGGACACTTATCCACAGTAACACATATTTTGTTCTAACACTGCATTACCAATTACAGTACATTCCTCAGCATTAGAAACAAAAGGAAATATTGCCATCAGTTGGTCATAAGAAGGCACTGCAATCTTCAAGAAAGTTCAGAACAAAAAAAATTCCATTGAAGAGGGAAGACACTAAAGAGAAAATACCAGCAATCAATCAGCAAATAAAATTACAGAATTTCCATTTTTTATGTGTTTCCTCTTGATAATGCTTTAACGTATTTATTAAAATAAATACATAAACTAAAAATAAGTTACAAAGTTGGAGTTAACTATAGATCTCTATCACTCAGATAAATAGATAGAATAAAAAACAGATGGCAGATAAATTAAGAATTATGCCTATTGTGATTCCTTTGTCTTGAGAATGCAGACAAACACAAGCTGGGTTCCCACACTGATCTATGCTTAGGATCTCTCTCCACATGACATCCATGAGCATCAATGTGCCCACAGACACTTCTGTTGGTACTTTCCAACTCTCTGCACAAAAACTTTATTTTAATTTTGAATAAAACTAAGAAAAGAGGTAGCATGCTGGAAAGGAAACCAGCAGTTTCAGAAACATCTTTGGGAGTTAAAAATGGTGAGTGGCTGCCCCTTAGCACTTTGTTGTAAAGATATGCTCACCTGCCAAGAAAAGAGAACAGAGACACAAATTGGGGGCAGATAGAGGGTAGCCCTGGATAGTTGGAAAGAAGCTCGTCAGTTTGCCTTCTGCTGGACAGATGTTCTATGATTGGTCATAGAAGCTGGTCCCCTCTAGATCCTTGCCAAAACAACAACCTCACATGGATATATCCTTCTGCTGTTGGAGAAATATCTGTAAGAGTCATCTTCTGAATTTCCATCCCATTTGCAAGTTTCCTCTCCCTTCTCAGGCTGAGGCTCTTTTGGTCTACTGAAGCAGGACGCTAGAGTACTTCAGTCTCCAAAATGTATGATGAGTTTGCAAAGCCAAGTCAAAAGCACACGGACATGATCAGTCACATTCCATGGGCAAGACCCCAATACTAAGAAACAAGGAGCACTGATAGTTAAGCAACAAGGAAGTACAGAATTACAAATGTGATTGGCTACAAATGAATTATAAAAAGACAATGCTTAAAATTGACTGGAGTCACTATGTTGTACCTGCTAAATGACAAGCCACAGCTTCAGCTATCTCTAGCTGCCCTGATCAACTTCTCCCTGAAGCTTAACCACAAATACAATATAGAAACTATTCTTATCTACCTACTTGTTTCTAGTGCTTGCTCAATATTTGCTGCTACAGTTTAAACTCTTACTACGCTCAGGAACTCCATGCTAAAACATGTATTAATATTCAACTTGCTTCAATTCTTCCACATGCTCACCAAGAATCAACCTTCTTGCTTTTAGAAGTCAAAGCCAGGCAGAGGGGAAATATATTGTGACAGTCCAACTACCACTGATCAAATCCTTTCTATGACTCACAAGAATCGAAGAATCATAATGTAAGATATTGGGTGGCTTTGCACAACTGCAGGAATAGTAGCCGACATTCTTCCTGCACTAATGTCCCACCATTGCACCAGAGTTTAATCAAACTCCTGGGAGAGGCCTCTCCTTGGAATAAATATTGTCCAGAAAACCATTAGCACGTTAATTAAAACAGCTCAAATGGGGTGGTAATGATTACATAAAAGGAAAAGGCATGTAACCTGGTTTAAAGAATGATTGCTAATTAAAAGCAGGAAGCTAGCCCCAAGCCAGGAAAACCATTTCTACTGCATCATGTTCCCTTCTCCCTCCATGATTTATAAAGCATCTTTCCTTTAAGAACTTAGGTAACTGCTTTATAAAAACATCAATACTGTAACAATGGAGAAACCAAGAACAGGTGTATCTCACTGGCTAAGGGTTTGAACAGGAAAGTCAGTAATTCAATGGTCTCCATAGCTGGCTTCAGAACACACTAAGCCCTAAACCCAGGTTAAAAAGCACAATTCCTGCACTTATATAACATGAGATATCCAACCAAATAAACTTAATGGGATAGCCTGGTTCACACGAATGTTAACACAATGGCAGGGTTCTTATCACATACTGAACTCCAAAATACAGAATCTCATTTTATGCCAGCCCCCAGGCATTTCGGTCAGGAGGTTAGATGAACACTGCTGTTGTTGGGATTTTTTCTTCTGTGAATGGGGTTACTGTCTATCCTTGGGCGCCAGGGGTTACAGTATATGTTGGGGGCAGATGTTTAATCCTTGTACGCTGCCCAAAGTCACTTGTGTGAGATGGGTGGC